CCCAGCAGGCAAAGCTGGCATATTTACTATGGCCAGCCTCTTAGTGTTTGTCAATAAACTAAAAGCTATAATCCATATACCCTATGATCTTGCGAAATATGATGGATGTGAAGAAGTGTGTATAAGCTGCAATAATCCATAGTACTAAGTGCCTAGATTGTGTGTTATCCCCTGGAAAATTTCTGTATCTAGAGTCTTAAATATTCAGATTCAAATCATTTTCTTTTAGTCTATTTCTTCTTTAGGAATAAGAAGTATAGAAAACAATCAGGAGAGGCTCCTCAGTTTGCACCTTCAGCTGTTTAGGCTAATTCAACTGCAGCTTATATCTTTAAAAAATATTCAAATAATTGCAAGGTATTTCTTAGCTCAAGTCTTAGTTTGAGCCGTTCTTATCTTTTATTTCTTTGCCATAAAAATAAATTTAATATGCGCAGTTTGTTCCACAAATAGTTCACTGCCTGCAAAACAGCTGTTGTATTCACAGTTTAAATATAAATATATATATATATATATAGATAAATTTATAAATTTATAAAAAAAATCCCTGTTGGTCTTGTGGACAATCAATGTCCGGCAATCTCATAAGTGTCTACATTAATTTAATTCATAATAAGCAATAACAGTAACAATGCTGATAATGTCAGTTGTTCGACATTTGTCAGCGTTAAAAATAGCGCCAACGCAAAAAAATTAAGACTGCTCTAGGTGGCAGTACACGACTAGTAGATATCCTGCAGAAATGTATTCCTATGTCTATAAAGGCGGGTAGACGTCACAATAAGTCATTCGAAATGTGAAAATGAGTTTGAAAATTCCATAGTTTGTCATCTGACTATAGTTTACGACAAACTATATATTTTACTCATATATATTTTTGCTTGACAAATTAAATTTGAAATAAATTTTAATCAGTTTTATAAAAATAAAAAAAATGTTCGTGTTTTAGTTCTATATATTTTGTAGTGCTGATTCGACATCTTTATTGATGTTGATAAAGAATATATATATAAATTATGCACTCAGACACGCCTACTATTTATATTTTAACAAAAACATTATACCCTGTTTTGGCTTGTTGCCATGTATAAAATATGCAAATGCATGAAAATAAATATATATATATATATATATATATTCAATAAAAAGCGAGAGCTACCGACACGGAAATGTAAAAAGCATAATAATAAAAAACTAATAAAATTAATGAGATTAAATCGCTTTATAAATGTACAAAACTGAACGCCCCGTCGCGCGGTTGCACACAATTATAACAAATATAAGCAATTTATATAAAATGCGATATAAAATCCCAAATGAAATTACATTTAGACCCCTTTGATACTCTTGCAACGGGGTATTACTAGTTCGCGAAATGAATGGTTATTAGTAGGCTTGAAGTAGATTTTGAATTTCTATTAAGTTTTATTAAATTCCATATAAATGGTTATGGTAAGAAAACAGGCTTAAAAAGTGTTAAATAGTGTTTAGCCCTTAGAGTTAGATTATTTGACAGCAATTTAAATTTATTTTGTAACATAAATTATTATTAATTTATTATTATTAATATTTATTCATTCATGCATAAGTTGCAGCTTTCGTCTGTTTGCATCAAATAAACACCGAGCTTCAAGAATGATAGAAAATTAAAGTATTGACAGCAGTTTAAACTGATTGTTCAGTATACCAAACTCAGCATTAAAGTGAGTCAAATAAGTTAGACACCAGCCTAAACTGACTCATGAATATGTGAATAATACTCAGTGGATAGCGCATTATAAATTCGTCTAGATTACTTGTAAATGCTGCGCCTATAGCTGAGCATGGAATGAAATGTGACCCGAATCAAATGCAAAATTCATTTGCTATTTACAGTTTGAAGCCCAGCCGGAAATCAGGCAGGCATGACGCCATCTTTCAAAATGGCTGCTCGTGCCGATTTTTTTTTTTTTTTTGCTCGCTGTAGTCGGCCTCGGTCTTGGGCCATTTTGTGTGTCTGCGTCTGTGTCTGCGCCTCTGGTGATTAGCTGTCACGAATTGTGGCGAAAAACAAAAATGAATTATTACCGCGCTGCGTACAAAATGTTGACATAGATTCAAATTATTTGTAACAAAATCAACGAACTGTAGCAACGCCAGCTCCCCTGCTCTTGCCCTCAGCCACCATCGCTTCTTCTGCTTATTAGATTAGCTTGAAGTGGGTGGGCGAGCATGCAAAAGAGTTTCGTCTTAAATTGCCCATCCGAGTTGCTCAGCACGTCTTTACTATTTATTACAGCCACAGCAACATTCAACAACAACAACTGTGCAAATAATTTGTGCAATTAATAAAGTTTTGTGTAGAGCAACTATTGCTTGTAGCTCATTTACTCTGAGGGCCATGTCCAAATACTGTTGGCCCATAATTTATAAAGAGAAGCTGGCCTAGGCCAATGTTATTGTCATCAATACGACTCGGCTTTGGCCTTAGTCACCATAATTATTAGAGCCCGTATCGAGCAATTGGTTTTCTATTTTTAGGATACCCTCAGCACAAGGGCAATTGAATGGGGTATACTGTTTCAGTGAATAAGCCTGTTGAAGGCGTTACGTGTAAAGGAACTGCAACTGAGTCTATCTACCCCTGCCTCTAAGTTTTAAGATCTAAGCTTATTCTAATTAAGTTTGCATCAAATTATTGATAACTTCTGGAATTAATATAAAGGCAGGATATATTAGAGTCGAGCACTGCCCACGATGGTTGTACTGCTTGCTTTTCTTTGATTATATTATGAACAATAGGGGCAACAGTACTGCTCTTGCTTTGGCTTGTTTACTTTTTGGTTCGATTGTTGTTTGGTCCTTGACTTCTGGCTGCTGGTTGCTGCCATTGTGCGCCATTGACTCATAATCGAGAATTGCTTCCTGCAGGTTGGGAATTCGTTTCCATGCCATTGCTCGAGCACTCGGTTTTGCCTTTGTTCATGACGGCGTATCGACTTTAATTCGGTTAATTTTTGCTAATTTTTTTTGTTATTTTTCCCACAACTTTGCTCGTTAAACAAAAGCCGGCCACAAAAACCAAGCGGCTTAAATGACACAACTTTTCAATTTTTTTTTTGTTTTGCTTTTTCACAACTAAGAGCAAAAAAGGTAATGTCAACTAAACCCCCATCTGCTTGTGCTGCGTCTATATCGTTTTCAACCTTCGCTCACTTGTGGCATTAATTTCTGCTGTGTAAGCAGATAAATTGCAAAACGCTTACCGGAAGCCAAGAGTCATCGGCATTAAAATGGATACCACGCAACGTTTGCACAAGCCAACATTACAGTCAACACCGGAGGTGTCTATTACAGCAAATTTAAACAGTTCATAAATTGAAAAGCCCACGCTCATCCAGCTTCCGTACATGTTTCATGAATTAATATTTAACAAACTTGAATTAAGTTAATTTATGCTTCAATCAAATCACATTTGATTGCCAAATTAGTTAATGACAAAGCTCTAGACTCTTAGGTGTGTTGAGATTTTCGATGCTATTACTACTTAGCTGATACTTGATATTATATAAAACGATTTATAGCCTTGAACAACTAAATAGTCGCATCTGCCTAGTTGCATAAGCTGGATTATCGCACGAGCTAAAATCCATTCACCCCATAGCATAGTCAAAATGCCATTTAATATTTATAATTGAGGCTTGCAGCATTTTGGTTGGGCAGCGGTGCGTATTAGTAATATTAAGTGCAGTGACAAAGAGCAGAGAGAGAGAGCAGTGAAGGGCAACTGCCGACTGTCAGCTGTCGTCTAATTACGTCTAATTGCAGCGAAACGCCGCAGGCATCCACACACATTAGCTAATATGTGCTATGTGTTGCCTCGATAAGCACGCTTAGAGTTTGAGCTGCTAATGTGCTGGAATATGGCTAAATGAAAGCCTTATAAGGTATTTAAAATACAAGTGAATTAGTCTCTATGTGTGTATGTTAAGTGTGAAAGTCAATGCGAGTCAATTATGCATTGTGTTGCCATTGTTTGTGCTGCTTCGCCAAACTGATTTTGCTAGCAGGTTTGCCTCATCGACTAGGAACCCTTTTCGAGCTACTGTCATCTGTCATCAAGCGAATATGAAGCTGTTTATAATGTTGCAGACGTATCATATTGTAACCGTGTGGCCCCCATTTCCAACTGTCATACAATATGAGATTAAGTCGGCGCCACAGCCAATCACTTGGCAGATGGTGGCCAATTTACTTGCTGCGTTGGCTGTTGTGCATGTTTCCTCCATAAATTTGCATACGGCACAAATACAGCTTGCTTTGAAGTACCATGTGACAATTTGCAGGCACAGGTTGCAATTTGTTGCATGCCTTTGAATGCAATGTAATTGTAATGCAATCGTGATTCAGGCAACCAATAGTGAAGTCATTATGTTGGTCATCTCGCTGGGCAAGGCTCTTGCCAGGAGTTGCGTTATGGTTGTTAACTTGTTCTGGTCATCTTTGATATTGTTGGTAGGTAACCAACTGGAGCAGGCAGGCTGCCAAGATCTCTGCATGGCATTCACGAACTCTGTCCAAAATATTTTACTATTGCCATTCCAGATGCTTATACAGAAGCTATTCAAATTCCACAAAAAGTTTATGATATACGCTAATAACTTAGCTTACTCTGACTTTAAATGGAAACAAAATCAGATAGAAAGATCGTTCGAGTAATATGTCTAAGGAATGCTCTTATAGAGTAAAGGGTTTCAGTGTTGAAAAGCGCTTAATAGAATCGTTGAAGCACTGCTGCCAACACAGTTAAGTAAACAAAATGGCATAATTAATATCCAAGTTCCTTTCCAATTTTATATTAATTTTTACAGTGTTGCAAAGTGCTTAACAAAAATTGTTAAAACAGTGTTGCGAGTGCCATTTAATGGACTCCAATATATATTTGAGTCTAATGCATAAGGCAGGTGAAATTGAGTTGACTGAGGCCAGCAAACTGAAACAACTTAGCACTGCTCTAATTATCAGTGTTGTAAAGCGAAAAATTATGTTAAGCTCAGATTTTAGTTAGCTTCTTGATTTAAATAACAGTTCTTTTAGCTTACAGCAAGAGTTGAGCTTGGATGGCATGCAAAATATGTGCGCTAGCGGGGGGCATAGGGAAACGAGTCCAGGGGAAAGTAAGATCATGGATTCTGCAACTGTCGGCGTTACTAATCTTAATGAACTATGTGCAACTGGCGATCCAGTCGTCGTTGCATCTGCGCTTGGAGGCTGAGCAGATGGCCATATTCTTTGGCTGCCCTGCTCTAATAGGTGTACTGTACGTGGTGTTAGATACTTGCGCCACTTTAGCTGGCACTGGACTGATCATGTGGCACAGAAAGGAGGCAACTGGCTTCTCATTGCTGATACTGCACCACACGCTCCACTGCATGTTCTTCACCAATTCGATTATCCAACAAGCACTCAATGAATTTGTGGATGTGGGCTCGTTGCTATTGCTTGTGGCCTTGGGGCAGGCTAAAGAAAATAAGTTGAACAAGCACAAGTTGGAGTTGCTGCTGCTGCTTTCACGCATCTGCATGAGCTGCATTTATTTCTTGTGGCTCCGTGAAGAGAACAATGTAGTCTACATGAACTGTTCGATAATTGTTAAATATTTCTATAATTCTTTGATTATAGGTCATCAATGATTGGTTCGCTCTGAGTTGCTGCATTCTTGTGCTGATTGGCTTCAAGTGTCGTTTTGTGGCCTGCTTGACTGCTTTGACTGTGATGTGGCATGCCTGCTGCTCGCCCAACTGGACCTTCATAATCGGCTGGAATGATCTGACCATTAGTGTGTCCTTAATATGTTCGCTGCTCGGCAAAGTGGCTGGCTTTCTGTTAATGGCACGGCTTGGTGCTGGGAAGTGGTCCCTGGATGCCCGAACTTAGCTGCCAGTTCATCACTGCAACAGCAACAACAACTTTCAACACGTGCTACTGAAGTTGGATTAAGATATAAAAGTCATTAAGCATTACGAGCCAAATGATTTTTTTTTTCGTTTTTGCCTTTTCGCCAAACGATGCTTTGCTCGCAGATTTACATGCAAACATATAGAGTCCGTCCATTGACGCCTTGAATGTGACTATCCGAATACTTGAACTGACTGTTATACCCTATAGTCATTAAAATGTTGAAAACGGGTATGATAGGCACAGCTTTTACGTGCTCCAAAGACAAATGCATCTCTGCGACTATTGCTTAGGATGCAGTTTAGTTTATGCGTATCGATAATTATCGATTTTTAGCTAGCAGTTTTTAGTGTTTTTTTGATTTGTCTAGTTAACAGGGCATTGCTTTAGCTGGTCGCACGTAATCAGAAAAGTGCTGTCCTGTTTTTATCTGCCTCTATCTGCAGCCATTCGGTTTTTATGCCAAGCACCTGGCTCATGATGAGCACTTGAACGGCCTTTGATTCGCTGTCTGTTTTCTTCATTTTGTTTTCATTTCGTCTTTTGCTTCGCTTTCTTTTGCGTAAATTATTGAAAAGTCTCGAGCTACAGCACTCCGGGTGCTTAAGCGGATTTACCATACACTTCCCCATTGCCCGCTCAGTATTTTTTCTGTTTCTTGTTATTTCACGGGCTTAAGTAGGAAATGGCACAGGAAGGAGGAACAGGACAATGGCGACGCTGCAATGTGGCGTGTTAAACGCAACAGCATGAGGCACAAGTCAGCGGCGCCAGTGGGCGTGGCTTAAAAGGACCCGCACGGACCGTTAATGAGTTTTTGGCACAGCGCTTGCATTTAACAGCTGCAGCGCACGGCGCATAAAGCCAACGCTGACCTTCGCTCTTGACTTAAAACCCATTTGCATAAGCGTTGCCGCCGCTGCCACTGCCGCCGCTGCCGCCACCGCCACCACCACCGTCGACACCGTCTTCACATGAGCACCCAGCCGCCAAAAAGGATGTGCCCGTGCAGCAGCAGGAAATTGCTGGCCACTGCCTGTTGCCTTGGCTGGCCCATGTATAACTGCTTTTTTTGTTTATCCAACTGACGTGGCTTGTAAGCCTGTCTGGATGGCGTTGCCTTAATTAAAAATCGCCAGCAATTTATTGACCAAACGTAAATGCAATTGACAGCGTGATAACCAAATAAACATTTAAAACAAGCCCCACAGCATATGGATAACAGCTTTAACTGGAGTCAAATATAATAAGAAATTTCCACTGCCAGTGTTGGAAAATTATAACGAAATTTTATTGGAAGTCAGCGGTTAAGCAGCGCAGACTTAAAGATTTTCATTTTGCATTCACTGATAGGGTATATGAGTTTGAGCCAGTGTTGGAAAACGGTATAAAATTGTATTTCAAGTCAGTTTAAGCAGCGCAAATTGAATGATTTTTTGCTACCAGTCAGTAATAAACCATATCAGTTTCAAGTTATGTCAAATAGAGATTTGTGACAGTGTTGGAAAGCTCTACAAACTTATGTTTGAAAAACATAGTCTGTAAGTCTCTTAGCTAACAGTCAATGCTAAAACTTAGAAGTTTGATTGGAATTCAAATTCGAAAACGAATATTTTGTAATAGTGTTGGAAAATCATTCAAAATAATTAATTTATAGCAATTATAAAAACAAAAATTGCCATAAATCGATGATAAAGTTGCAGTTGCAATATAATTAAAATATGATATGACAGTGTTGGAAAATTCCAAAGTGTTCGTAATATTATTAAGGGCAGTTTTGAAAATTTATTCAGAGGTTTGTTCACAATAAAGGTCAGTATCGTAGTTAAGTACAACAAAAAAATTATACATACATATAAATAATAAATACTATACAAGTATTGTACAACACTTATACTGTGTTACTTTGTAACTTTAAATTTTAGACAGCGCTATCCACTTAGATTAATCGAGAGCTTAAGTGCCATGGCAAGGCAGCCGGTGTCATTGTGGCTTGGTTAATATTTTGGGCAAATGCTATGCTTATTCCTGCGGCCACAGCAGTGCTCGAAGAAGTGCGCCCTTTTGCGCAGCAACGGATGCACAAAAAAGGACTTGTCATAAAAGTGCAGCCATGTAATTTTCTAAATGAAAGCGGAAAACAGAGAAGGAAAAAAGGAAAAAAATAGGAAAATAAGAAAAGAAAACGAAGAAAATGTATTAAAATGCAGGCCACCGCAAAACAAACAACAGCCATAACAAAACAACAAAATTTCTAAACAGAACGCAATTTTCGCAAGTTGTATTAAAAATTCGTAAAGGGGCGAAACAGCAACAAAAAAAAAAGAAGAAAACGAAATGGATATGGGGAACGGCAACAAAAAAATATAAATAAAATAGAATGACAAACGGTTTGCTCAACAAGAAATATGCAAATGCAAAAGTGCGATGACGCCAGCGCAGGCGGATTAGAAGGAGCGAGGTGTGCGGGCTTGACACGTGGCGTATGAGCAACAACATTGCTTATACGTATGCAAATGTGTTTAATTAAAATGGTGCAACGCGCCAGCGCCTTTATGCCTGTGTGTGTGTCCGTGTGCGTGTGCGTGTGCGTGTGCGTGTGCTTGCGTATGTTTAACGGTTAATGCACATAGCAACATTTCACATTTGCATAAGTAAAGCAAACTAAATACTCGCTGAGACAATGCAAAGCGCTCGGCAGCTCTGCAAAGCCGACCCCGCACAATAAAATTATTTGCCTCCCTCGCGCTGCCACGCCATGCCGCCATGGACTTCCCAGCTGAGCATTTAAATCTATTTACCTGCGTCGTAGGCAGCACACCGGCTGCAGTTCCAGCTGCTGCTGCTACTGCTGCTGCGGCTGCTAGTGCAGATAAGAGTAATCAAATAGTCGTAAAGTTCGAGTGTGTGTATAATTAATTTGGCAACGCCTGCAAAAACAAACCACAAGAATTGAAATTGAGAGCTGACAAAAGTTTTCAACAAACATTAAGTTTCCAAACTATAAGTACTCACTCTCCCACTCCCTCACTGTTAGCTCATGTTCCCAAAAGGATTTTCTTTGCGAAAAGCTTCAGACACGTGAGAGCATCCAATTAAAGAAAAAGGTATTCAACTCAAGAAAGTAAATACATATGGCATGCATGTATATTTTATCGTTCGTATCTTATTGCCTTTTCAACAGCTTGAAGTTAAACTGTTATACACATAAAACACGTCGAATACATCTTCTCCAAAAGCTGCCGGCAGAAATGTGAGATATGAAAATGAAACGAATGCGATTTAAGTTATTAATTTGTTCACAATATTTGTTTTATATAAGTTGTTATACATATGACAGAAGTCACTTAGATTAAGTGTTTTGTTAGATAATAATAGGATAGCTTGATAGAAAGTCCTCTTTCAATAAGTTAAACTAATATTGAAAAAAGTTATTCTCACATTGAAGCTGTTATACACATAATATATACATGCATTCATATTCATTTTTCATAAGCTATTATACTGTATAACAAAACTTTTACAAGCTGTTGAATTTTACCACACAAGTTTTAAAATATAACACAAGCTATACAAACAGTTATATTAAGTTATATTAAGATATATTATACCTACTGTTATATAATATAAAACAAGTTATACAAGCTGTTATATTGTATATTAAAAATTTTTCCAGCTGTTATATTGCATAAAACGAGCTATAAAAGCTGTTATACTGCATAATACAAATTATACATGCTACTATATGGTATAACACACTTTATACAAACTGTTATATTGTATAACACCTGTTATACCAACTGTTATACTGTACAACATTAACTATACAAACTGTTATACTGCATAACACAAGTTATACAAACTGTTATACACTACACTGTAGTCCAGCTTGTTTTAAGCCACAGCATCGACTAGCTCGTAAGCTTGCGCTGCGCATATACCCGAATCTGTGTGTTTTCATTTTAAGGAACACGACAGTTCGTGTGTTTTTGTCTAATCCATGCGGCTCGGTTTGCTTGTATGTAGCTTTGGCTTTAACAAGTTCTGACTTGGGCATTTAAATTCAACTTCAAGGCTAAGAGACACACGTACGAAACGAAATGAAATGAAATGAAATTCATTTGGGAGCCGCCGCAGCGACAGCGTCGCATTACGTAAAAGCGCTTTTACGGCTACATTTGCAGCACTCACACACACACACTCAAACAGAGACTTGCACAAGCCCAGGCAAATACACTCACGTAGTGGCCGTATGATGCCTTTCATTGCGGCACTTGGGCAACAAAATCTAGACTCTCTACACTCTCGATTCAGCAAACAGGTTAAACAGCCAACCGGCAAATGGCGCAGACAATAAAGCTTAGCCAGAAGCCTGTGCAGCTTCAACAGATCTTTTGCTCCATATTTACTCGTATATTCGATTTTTTTTTCGCCAATAAATTCAAATGGCAGCTTACATTTGAGACTTGACAGTAAATGGCTTTTCCTTGCAGAATAACTTGAATATCTGAAATTTTCTCGTGTTGAAATGCGTGGCAAAATCATTTAAAACGTTCAGTAATAATGCCAGTTTGTTGGGTTATTAAAATGTCATATAAACGTTTGCGCTGACGGATTTTTTCTTGCTTGTTGGACACTAGATACGCATATGCTAAATATATATTTATATATATATATATATATATATATATATATATATATATATATATATATATATATATATATATATATATATATATATATGTATATATATATAAATATAAATATTTTCCATTCCATATATTTTTTTTCAAGCCGAGGTTTTTCACGCGTTTGGAATTCGTTTTTGCAGGCGCCAAAATGTCAGCGACACGTATTCTAACAGCGGCAATTTATCATAAATATGCGCACACACATATGTATTTGCATATGCATGTGTGTGAGACACATACACTCAAACATGTGCGGCATATAAATCCGGCGCTTGTTTCGCGGCTGCCCCAGCGGTCGGTCTTTTGTTTATTTCGCTGTCAGCGTTCGTTTAATTCAACATTAGCGCCTAGCAGGCAGGTCCGAGTTGCCCCTAGGTAGTGTATTTGTTGTGCGAGTGTATGTATGTGCGCGTGTCTGTGTGTTGCGACTGTTGCCTTTCATCGCTGTTGTGTGTACGTCCTTTTGTATGTTCCATGGTCGTTTCATTTTCACACGCTTTTCTTGCTCGCATTTTTTCTCTTTTTCAAATTGTCAAAATGTCAAATAAATTACAAGAAAAAAAGCATTTACAAAAGATCTGTGCCAATATATTTATATATGTATAAATAAATACATATATCCATATGCTTATATGCATCTATAGAATACATATTTTATTTTAATATGCCTATTCTCTTGTGGCCTGTTTTGATTGTTGTGGCATATAAATAGAGATTTGGTGTTGAAAGCTGTCAGACACATGTCTGTCTCGCTCTCATTGTTTGTCAGACTGTTATCAAAACTGTTATATTTGTATAAATACACGACTAACAAGCAATTGTTAAAGTATTTGCTATTGTTATTAAAGCCTCATATTTATGCTGTTATTAATGCGTCTGCTATAAACTTACAAACTGTTATAATCTGTGCGCTATAAGAAGTAAATATCATGAAATGTAGTCAATTTCCCAACTGTTATATGTAAACTGTTATACTGTATATTAACTGTTATAATTAAAGTAGGTAATCACAAATACAATGTAATAGAAAACTTATAAAAAGTGTTATACATCAGTTAACTAAGTGTTATACTTAGCTTAAACTCTTGTACTGACATGCAAAGCAAGTCTTAAACAGCACGAGCACAAAACTGTGTACTACAAAGTGTCATACAAAGTGTTATACTACCTTTGCATGACTGTAAAACGCTTTATGATTTGTCTTACAGTTCACACAAGCCACCAATTTATGCATTATGTATTGCTCAAGTATGGACAGCCAGTGCCACTGACTCGCGTCAGTCAGCTCGTCCCATTTTGATGCACATTTCAGGTTTATATATCAGATATTCAACAAAGTATTTAAGTCCTTTGCATAGTTGGCATAGTAACTGACACAAATTACTATTTATATATAGTGTTATATGAACTGTTATACTGACCGTAATCTCATCTTACTTAAATTTGATGGCCAACAAAGCGCTTTCGACTGCCACATAAAACTTCTATTATCGAGACAAATTGCATAACTTGCGTTTTTAACTTGAACGCTTTACCAGGAAAATATATATATATATATATATATGTATGTGCAGCTAGTGCTTTATTTTATGCGTGGCTAAAATGGAAACAAACAGACACCCGCACACGTACACACACATACACACTCACACATATACACATATAGTAAGAGGTGCGCAGGCACGCATACAAAAGCGTAGCAATAAAGACTTGGCCAAAAAGTCAAGCGGATTTTGGGCTGGCAAAGTTTGTCTATGGCAAAAAGCCGCTTAGCCTAGTTAAATAAAAGTACAACAAGAGCTCAAACAAATATATATATATGTTATATATTTCCATAAATATATATATATATATATATATATATATATATATATATATATATATATATATAGAAGTCCGCATTTAGTCTATATGCTTGGTCTTAGTTGTGAAGTGCTGCAAGTGCTGCAGCTAAGGTGATTTGCGATTAGTAAATGATTCCACTACAATTTAAGACCCTATCTCATACACACCCGCAGACACACACGCACGCACACAGCGGCCTACACACCCACCCACACACTCACTTATTTTACAGTTTTTAAGCGTATCCCACAAGGTATGCCATTGGCGGCTGTTGTTTATTTATGGCAGCTGCGTCTTGCCACATTTTGTTGACTCGTGTTTCATGTTTTTTTTTTGTTGTGTTGTTGTTTTAACAAGGCATTTAAATATTTAAAAAGGCCTCAAAACCTATGCGGCACCCAGCCATAAATATGCAATGAGCCTTTTTTTTTGAGTTTTGAGTTGGTTTTTTTTGTATATGGGCAGAACACGGGTAGCAGCCTCCCTGGCCCCATAGAGCTGCTCTTACCTGGTGCCGTTTGGCGCTTGGCAACATTTTTCAATCAGTGAATTTTGATGACTTTTTAACTAATGCCCAAAAGCCCAGACGCCATGTCGAGGCTAAGTGTGCAGGTTAATTAGCAACAGCTGTCTTTTTTTAGTCCCTAAACTGGGCATTTCATTAGACGTCGATTAAATTTTGAAAATTTCGACTGGACACGCTCATAACACTCAAATATATATAGGTATTTATGTGGCCGTTAGCTCAAACTCTAATCTAGGAAAGTCGTAAAAAGTTTAACGTGTTCTTAAAGCATCGAGCCACAAACCAAAGTTTGACTCCAACTGCGACAGCTACATAAAAATGAAATGAAGAAAAAAACTTTCAAATTGTTACACGGCGAATGACACGCGCTGTCAGTTGTATATACCCTTAAAGAGAAGGTATTACCAAAATGTCATGAACTGAGTTAGACATGAAAAGGAAGGTCTTCAAATTTATGCATATTTAATTATTTTTATTGTACAATACTATTGTATAGCAACAAGTGAAGCTGAGAACGGAATTTACTTTGTAAGATATATGGAAACTTGGTGTCTATGGGCTTTCAATATAAAATTTTCAATATAATTTATAGTTTTAATTGTTAGAAATAAAAAAATGTTTTCGAGCTCAATATAACGCTTCGATATATTATGTTATATAGATCGAAACCTCTCCATAATTTGGTTTTCAGTTTTTTCAGCTCATCAAAAAATCTGTAGGTGCGAGGATGACAACTTCTGCCAATCCTCCTAACATGATTTAAAATACAAACTCTAAAACTCATAAAATATCTGGAGATTCAGTAAGTTAAAATAAAAGTAATGACAAAAGAAAAAAAATTGTATTTTTCTAATTTTAAATGTATTTAAATTTTTTTGTATTCTTTTTTTATTTTCACATAAAAATTCTTTTACGTCTCTGAGGGCATGTTAAGTTCGGTTTGTCGCTGTTAGCTTATCTTGTTGCCTTGTCTTGTTTTTCTTGCTCTTGTTTGGCCTTTAACCTATATATATATATATAAATATATATATATGCATATATATATATATATGCATATATATATATATATATGCATATACACCCATCCCTGTTGCGCCTCGTGTTAATCTGTTGAAATTTGCGTTTTAATAGAAATGTGTCTGAGTGCGTCTGTTCCTGTGTGTGTGTGTGTGTGTGTGTGTGTGTT